TAGCTTATGCATTACAATATAACACGGTAATCTTCATTTCCACTCTATTTCACTCATGTACCAATCTTTACATTTTTACACAGACACTAACTATACTAGAGATCTCCTACTGTAAATTGGTAGAAGAAGGAGTGCAGTATTTCTCTCACGCATTACAAAATAACAAGGTGACACCGATTCTTTCTCTCTTTCACTCATATTTTCATCTCCATTTACCAATGCAGACACTAACCACAATAGATCTTTCCGGAAATAAAGCTGGGGCTGGTGGTATACGATATCTGGCTGATGCATTAAAGCAGAACAAAGTAACCATACATTTCTCTGCAGCTTTCTTATTTCTCCGTCGCCACTTTTTCACACAGACAATCACCACAGTAAAGATTTCCTATAATAAAATCAGAGATCTCGGAGCACAATATCTAACTGATGTATTAAAACAAAATACGGTAATTCTCATTCTCTCTGGGTATCTCTCATTTCTTTATGTCTGCTTTGTCACCCAGATACTCACCACGATAGAGATCTCTTCCAACGAAATCGGAGACGAAGGAGCACAACATGTGGCTAATGGATTACGAAATAATACAGTAATTCTTACTCATTCTTTACTACTCGTATTCTCTCGTCTCCATTTCTTCACTTAGACACTCATAACACTACAGATGTCCTCCAATGCAATTGGAGCTCTTGGAGCACAACATCTCGCTAATGCATTACAACATAATGCTGTAATCATCATTCTCTCTTCATTTGACTCATATCGCAATCTTCACATTTTGCACACAGACACTAATCACACTAGATCTCTCCTATAATATAATTGGAGATGAAGGAGCAGAATATCTGTCTGATACAATAAAGCATAACACGGTGACTCTCATGCTCTTTGTATCTCTCTTAATTCTCCAACTGCACTTTTTCATACAGTCACTCACTGAACTAAATCTCGTAGACAATCAAATCAGAGAGAAAGGAATACAATATCTCGCTGATGCATTACAACATAACACTGTAACGCTTATTCTCTCTTCATATCTCTCATTTCTCTTTCACCAATTTTTCACACAGACACTAGCCACATTAGATCTCCATAAAAACCGAATTGGAGCTCTTGGAGCACAATATCTGAGTCATGCACTACAACGCAACATGGTAACCATTATTATTTTCTCATTTCCCTGCTACATTTGTTTCTATTTGTTTACACAGACAATCACTACACTCAATTTCTATGAAAATAAAATCGAAGCTCTCGGGGCACAACATCTGGCTAATGCATTAAAGTATAATACGGTAACTATTCATTTCTCTGCATCTTTCTGATTTTTCCTTCTTCATGTTTTTTCAAATAGACAATAACCACACTAGATCTTACCTTCAACAAAATCGGAGATGAAGGAGCACAACATCTGGCTGATACATTAAAATATAACAAGGTGACTACGATTCTCTATTTGTCTTTCGCATTGCTTTATTTCCACTTTTATCACACAGACACTAACCATACTAAACCTCTACTACAATGAAATCGGAACTCTCGGATTACAACATTTGGCTGACGCATTAAAACATAACACGGTGATGATGATGATGATCTTTTTAGCTCTCTATCATGTAAGCATATCTTTTCTTTTATACAGACACTTACGACATTAAACATCTCTTCTAATAAAGGTGGAGCACTCGGAGCACAATATCTGGCTGACGCATTAAAACATAATACCGTGATCCTGATTACTCGCTTCATCTTTCTCATATACTCGTCTCTATTGTTTTCAAACAGACACTCACCGTGCTAGAGTTCAGATCTAATGATATAGGAGTTCTCGGAGCACAATATCTTGCTGATGCATTACGAAATAACACAGTAATCTTTATTCTCTTTACATCGCCCTCATTTTGGATTTTCGTCTATTTCACATAGAAACTCACGATATTAGATCTCAACGAGAATGAAATTGGGGCTCTTGGAGCACAACATCTGGCTGACGCACTAAAAGATAATAAGGTGAGTTTCAGTCTCGCGACATCTCTCTCATCTCCCATTCTTCACCTTTTGTCCAGACAGTCACCACACTCAAACTCGTATACAATGAAATCCGAGACAATGGAGCAGAACATCTTGCAGAAGCACTACGAAATAATACGGTCATTCTCATTCTCTCTTCATTTCGGTCATATACGCATCTTTACTGTTTCACACAGACACTAACCACACTTATGCTCTACGGGAATCATATAGGAGCTCTGGGAGCACAATATCTGGCTAATGCGTTACAATATAACACAGTAACCCTGACTCTTTCTGTATCTGTCTGATTTTCAATTCTCGTTTTTTTTTGCACACAGACACTGACTACACTAGATCTCTCTGGAAATTATATCCGAGATGAAGGAGCACAATACCTGAGTGTTACGTTACGAAATAACACGGTAATCCTGATGACCTCTTCATCTGTCTCGTATACACATCTTCGATTTTTAACAGACACTTAAGACATTAGAGCTTGGAGGTGATCGAAACGAAACCACTGGAATTGGAGCTCTCGGTGTACAACATTTGGCAGCTGCACTACGATATAACACAGTGACTATTAATGTCTTCCTATCTCTCTCATATACTCATGTTCACTTTTCACACAGACACTAACCACACTCGATCTTTCATTCAATTATATTGGGGATCTTGGAGAACAGTATCTAACTGATGCATTACAATATAACACTGTGACTACCATTCTTTTTGAATCTCAGTTCTTCATCTCTTTTTTTCCCCACAGACACTCATCGACCTAGATCTCAACGATATTCGAATTGGAGAGAAGCTTCGAAGTTGTTTGAGAGATCGGAGTGATCGAAACAGACGACGAATAAAGTGATGAACATCGATTTGAGAAGCTTGCTTGAATGTAAAACTATGATGACTGTATAAATGTATGAGCGAATGTTCTTTGTCACATTTTTGTTCATCATGAGAAGAAAAGTATTTGGGGGGGGGGGTGTGGGTGGGTGGGTGTGGGATGGGGTGTGGGCGGGTGTGGGTGTAATAATCAGATGCACATCACACTCCACACACCGACACCCACACCCACCCACACCCACACCCCACACCCTACACCCACACCCTGCTTATATTTTCCCTTAAACGGTTGTTTCCCTTAAACGGTGACCACAGTATTTCGATTACTTGGTTATTCAAACTATATTATAAGTTTTTCAAATAGCAAAACTTTCGTTAAAATGCTAAGCACTAATCCGGAAACAGAGATACTCGTGTGAAAGCGATAGATGAATTTATGAAAATTTTGGAAGCATAGCCAAGCAAATAACGGCAGAATGAAGTTTTCAATGTTTCTTTTCTTTTTTTTACTGATGTGGGAGACTTACTTTTTCTTTTTCTTACTTCCTTTTTGAAAAACAGTAAGAGAAAAACATTATTTTTCTTTCCACTATCTAAGGGTAGGGAAAAAATTATTATTTAGTTCTTTTATAGAATCGAAAGAACAGAGAGCGCTCGCTCATCTAACAGTGACATTTTTATAGTAAAATAGAGAAAGAACACATGAGATTTTTTTAACGTAATTGTTGACACATGTAGAATGAAATTACCTTGAACATAAACGATCTTTTTACTAATTCAAAATGAATACTTATATTTTCACTCCGGCTGACTTAGAAAAATGCTTCTCTTTAAGTTTTGATCCAAGGCTGTCCACAGCAGCGTCTGCATTTGTCGACTTGGAAAATATTGTCTCTAAGCAACATCAAATAATACGCTTTGATATTAATCTTCATGATAGTACAGAAACGGCAGTTACTGTCGATCATTTACGATATATTGCTGATTCAGCGCAATTCTTCAACACTACTACCGAATGTTTAGAATATCTGGACCAGACAAAATATATCAATACATTCGTAATTGTGTCTGAACAACAGGCCGAACATTTTATTCCAGAAATCCATACTCGAGAAAATATTCTATTAATTTATATTTTACGTCGTGATCATGAATCTGTTTCTTTCAATCCAAGTCTAGAATGGTTTGAAAAATATAGAAAAGTAAATTATACTTTATTTTTTTTTTATTAAGATGCGGTACATAAAAAAGCAAAAGACGGTGATCAAAAATGATCATGTTTTTCTGCACTCTGGAAGTATTATAACTACTATCTTAGTATCTATTTGCAAAGCTTCGTCTCTTTTCTGGATAAAAAATATATATAACATTTAGTTTGTATATCTTTGCCTACATCAAATAGCCCCAAAAAGCATTTATTATGCTCAAGAGAACTCTAGAAATTGTTAAGGCGTTCAGGAATGTTCCTATAGCCTTCCTCTATAAAAGATTCTAAAATTCTCTGAAATATGATAAATTTCTCCTAGTGCCATTTGACCTGTGCATAGGTAATACACTCTTAATGCAATCTTATTTAATAATAGTACCAGGATGCGTCAAAATTGATGATTTTACGATATATATTATCAATAAAATTCTTATTTGTACTCCCATTTTTTAGGTAAAAAAATTTGTTTACATCACTTATGAAGACTTGTTAGAAGATGTCAGAAAAGATGTCAAATATTATTTAGTGTCAGAAGTCCAATGTGATTTACATTTCGAAAAATTTGGTGAGAGTGCTGGGTGTTCATACCGATCCTGGCACCAAGAATTCATTGATATTCTATGCAATTTATCTTATCCGGAAGATCAATTTAAGAAACTCTTACCTTTGTTAAAACAGTATACTGCTACTCCGAATGAAATTGAAATTTTTGAACAAAATTACAAGACGAAAGGTCCTATATATTATTATACAAAAGAACTTTATATATATATTCCATTAAATCAAGCATTACGTCAGCGCAATATCCCTCTACTATTTAAGTTTGGTTTTTTAATTAAAGACTTAAACCAAGAACTCAAGAAAGCACAAAAACAGTTCATTAAAAACTATTCAAATACGCCTATTCTAACATTATATCGTGGTCAACAGATGTCTATAGATGATATTGGAAAATTATATGACGATTTATATATTTATAATACAACTATGTTTTCTTCATCTTCTGATCACGAAGTATCGAAAATATTTCAAAATGAAAGATTAAAACAAGATTCCTTTCTTCAAAATGTTTTATTTCAAATTGAAATTGATATAAGAAAAAGATCTCCACCATACGCTGCTATTTCTGAACAGAGTCAATTTGAAGATGAAGCAGAAGTTTTATTTATGATCGGAAATCCATTTAAAGTTCAAAATATCAAGTACATCGAAAAAGAAAATTATTATTTAGTTAACTTAGTCTTACTTAATGATTTTGAACCAAACGATGTGAGAATATCGACAGATTACTCTGATCGAAGAAATATAAAAAATTGTCTAAGTACATTCAAACTTCAAATGTATTATGTAACATCTATTGAACTAAATATTATTTATCAGGAACTAATGAATTTATATCCGTCGGAAAAATGGATTGAAGCAGTGAAATTTTATCGCTCTGGTCAATATTTTCAATATAGAGAAAAACAGTGTCAAGTGGCACTGGATAAATACAAACGTGCATTAATGATTTGGCGTTCCTTTGATGAGGATAATGATTTAAATTGTTCGATTGATATTGGTCATACTTATATTCTGATTGGTCTTTGCTATCAATCGTTACGAACTGATGAACAAGTTATTAAAAAGAATTTCGATCGAGCTCATAAACATTATAAAACAGCATATAACAACTCTCGTTGTGAACATGAACGAACTGAAACATTAGATTGTTTGGCAAATATTTGTGCTCATAAAATGTTATTACCATGGAAAGATGAAAAATTAGTAAAAAAATATGGTCCAAAGGCAATGAAATATAAATGGCAATATATTAAAACAATCTTACACAATGACTTATATGATAAAATAAAAGTTGCTGAGAGTCTTGAACTCTTAGCGTATTACTCTAAAAAACTAATGAATTACGATATTGCGTTAAATAGTTACAAAATGGCACTCAATATCTATCAACAACAAATTGAACTAGATCAAAATTCGATTACTGGCTGTATTGATGAAATTGTTGAAATTTATATCAAACAGAAAAATGACACACATTCAGCAATACCTTATCAAAAAATGCGACATGCAATGAGATTAAAATATAATGAACATCGCTTAGAGGATGATAAACATACATCTTATCACAAGAAAAAACGAATAATAGACAGTTATATTGAACTAGCTAAACTATACGCAAAAGACAACCAATATGATTTAGCATTTGAACAATTAAAACTAGCAAACGCACTCTATAGCAATGAAAGATATTCTAAGGTGGTCTCAATTTACGATTTGATAAACGTGCGGAACACTGCTGTAATGAAAACTAAATATAAATCTCGAAGAAAGACTATTTAACCAAATCAATGCAGTTTTCCATAATCATTTTAATCACTAACCAACTTATCTAATATGTAAATAAGTATATCTATTTATTCATCTACTTATCACAGCAAGAAAATATTCCACGTTAAAAAAAAGGGTGTGCGTGTTGATCTTTCCTTCACCCACACCCAAATATGAATTGATTTTGCCTATTAAATGAAACAAAAACTTGGTAAAATTATATGGTCTTTTTCAAATCAAATCTGATGTGTTATAAGAACCAATGCGTACTTGAGATTTTCATCCATGTAAGAAATCTGGAACAAATCTAATTTGAACAATTTTTTTCCTAATTCGAAGTCGATTAAAATGGCACTATTTTGGGTGTGGGGTGTGGGTGTGTGGGTGTGTGGGTGTGTGGATGTGGGTGTGGGTGTGAGTGTGAGTGTGGGTGTGGGGTGTGGATGTGAATGTGGATGTGGGTGTGGGTGTGGGTGGGTGTGTGGGTGGGTATGGGTGTGGATGTGGGTGTGGATGTCGGGTGTGGGTGTGGGTGTGGGGTGTGTCTTTACTTCACCCACGCCCACACCCAAACTGACACCCACATCCCACACCTCACCCATACCCACCCACACTTACACCCCACATTCTCACCGGACACCCATCTAAAAACTAAAAATTTGCATGATGATCCAGGATTTGTTATGTTCGATATGAATGATGTCATAGTTTCTAAATGACATTGATTTATAGAAATATTTGTTTTTTTACTAAAATCTAATTTCGAATATAGGTATCAATATAAAAACGCTAAATATGTGAAAATGGAAACTATGACATAAGTTTATTATATTTTTGAATATAATCAACTTCTTAAATAAATCATAATTAAACATCTAGTTTACCTTATCAGCGAGTAGGTAGGCACCCAAACTCAATAAAAAATTTGAGTATTTCAAACTTATCTCACTTATTATAAGCTACGTGTATATCAATAAACTGTCGTGCCATTAATATCAAAGGAAGTCTGCCTTGGACAACTAAATGGAAAATAATCAAATGAGCTGCTTGATTAAATCAGATATTCAAAGAGAATCGAACAATCCCCCAAACCCTAACTCATTGGATTTGGGCTTTTTGATTGACTCTAGTACATAATCTAAGAAAGTTGCCGAAATACCTGTTTTGGTATACTGTAGTGCCATTCTCCTACGTTAGATTTTTATTGACGAAAAACTGTGACACCGCGCGGTTCGATAGATAAGGGCGTTTTTCTTCATTTAGGCAGAAACGACCCAAACGGTTTGGTGCATACGTATCAGGGAGCGCCTACAACATATATCTGTAAATAGTGGAAGAACATTTATTAATAGAGATAAAAATAACTTAATATGAATTAGAATCTTAGTCGCAGCAGGTTTTGTATCGCAACTTGTCAATGTTATTGGTTACATTTACATAATTTGTTATTATTTTCAAGAGTAAAGTTTTTATTAAAAAAAAAGGTGGATTCGCAAATATTGTTTATAAACAGTTTGTACCTCTACGAGAGTCAACCTCTTTCCTTTTATTGTGATTCGTTGTTTTTGCCTGTTTCGAAACTATAGTTTATAATTGGCGAAAATAGGTGAGGAAGAGTAGTACCGTTGCTTTCTTATTTAGTTTGAGTCAAGGAATGTGGCAAAAACAGATGATTCAAGGTGATTGCAAGAAAATTTTTCGAAACTTACAAAGTGCATACACAATTTATCTTTAAAGTAGAAGGAGTACTGATCTTTCTTTTCTAAATTTACAACCTTTATTAACAATAAATACGATTTTTGTTGGAAATAACTGAAAGTTTTCTAAATTTGCATGATATTCACCCTTCTACCACACCGCGTGAACATCATATGGGTGGCTTGAGTATCAAATTATTTTTCGTTTTTGATATATTGACTCTTGTTTTCTCAGAAACTGTGTAATGTCATTGGTAGGAAGTACTGTATTCTTTTTTCAACTTTTTTTATTATATCTATTTTAGCCTTATGACCCTGTTCTAAAGGGACAATTGAGCTTGAGATTGCATACTCCTACAATACAATAGCTTGAAAAGAAATGACAACGGACAAAAGCAAGAATCCAAAGAAAAGATGAGAGAACAGAGACAAAATAAAGAAAAAAAGAAAAAGAGGACTAACGGAAAAAGCCAAGAGAGTACATACGACAAAGATACGAAAAAAGACGAAAAGAAAACGAAAGAAAAAACAGTACAGAGATGTTTTTTTCAATTTTCTCTAATCACTAGACACAAATCTACGCAGAGAAAAAATTTCACGTCGTTGCTCTACTGGAAATAAAGGAGAAGAAGACGGTGTGGGTATGGGTATGGGTGGATGTGGGTGTGGGTGTCGGTGTGGTGTGGGTGTGGGGTGTGGGTGTGGGGTGTGGGTGGGTGTGGGGGTGGGTGTG